AAAAAAAAATGTCGTTAAAAACAAAGCAAAAAACATCTTGAACAAACTTTAGAATCTTCACTAGCTGTCACTGTAACACCATTGCCGTAAATGCTTGAGGAAGCCTTTACTTTAAGGAACTGCTCAATTGATAAAAGAATACTGGTTTTAGTGGTTACAAATCAAAGATTACCAGAAATTCATTTCAGTAATGTGATAAAGATTCCAAAATGTTATTCAAAATGGAAGATTAGGATTATTTTTTATGGTAAACTTAACTTTGTTATAAGTGTAAATGACTCCAATTTTTATGTGGGTTCTGAAAGCAACAGTGGTTAAACACATAAGGCAAATTTCCCAATTCCATAAATCTGATTATCTTACCTCAGTCTTCCCTGAATTGTCACCATCTTCAAATTTGGCAATTTTTTCTGGATTTGCTTGTAAAGACTTTCTCCAAATAAACTTTTTGAATATATTTTCTTGTGATGTACTTGAGCTTGCACCTCCAGTATCCTGCAAGATAAAATTACAAGTTAGAAGGTATTCACTACCAAGGATTGATAGAGGTCAATATATATAACAAAACTATTAAATATTAAAATAATTTATTGACAAAAAAGAAAAAGAGAAAAAGAAAAAGAGAAAAAGAAAAAGAGAAAAAGAAAAAGAGAAGAAGAAAAAGAAGAAGAAGAAAAAGAAGAAAAAGAAAAAGAAGAAGACAGGTTTTTAAGGTTACTTCCTCTTTCCTTCTTCCATCCTTTCTGTCAATTATCTAAGAACTCTAATACAATAACCCGTCTCCCTAAATAAAATATCCCATCTTTACCCAACCACCTTCACGAACCCCGTCCTTGTACAGAGTGGAGCTACAAATCAAAAGAACCACTACCATGATTCCTGAAAATAGGACTATCTGAAGCACATCTGTACGTTTCCTTACCCAGATTTTACAAGAAAAATGTTTCAGTTAGCTTGAAGTTTTTGCCATGAGAAATGCCAGGTCAATATCTTCCCCAATGTCAGAGACAGTGGTACTTCTGCTGTGGTAACAATCAACATGTCAGCATTGTCTAGTGCTTGAAGTGTTTAAATTCATTGTCATGAAGTTTCAACCTTAGCCGGACAATCAATCTAATTTGTTGTGTTCAATAGAGAGGAATTTGTTTTGCATTACTGTTATTTCTAACCAAACTTAACTGATATTCATTGGATTGTGGGCAATAGTACAGAAATTTTTAATCAAGTTTCCTTCATCCTGTATGGATGAGCTGTGTAATGGGTTCTGTGTAGTAGCTAATTTTCTGTCAAAGACAACTAAACATCACTGAACGTGAAGATCTGCAATTGAGGTAAACAATGTTGGAACAACTGACAAATTGTTAAAACTCCATCAGACTTAACAAGCCCATTATTTTTTTTATTATACATTTTGCAATTATCTAATTATATGTATTTATCTTTGATTGAGTTATTTTTATAATTTTAATAAATAATTTTATTGCAAATTTGGTTGTTCATTTTATTAATTTTTTTTATTGATTTAGATATTAATAGATAAATAAACAGATCAGTTGGATAGAGATAATATGCAACAATATTTTGATATATCATATAAAATTAACTGTTACAGAGTGTTAGAATTCGTTTTCTTCGTTCTGCAGGAGGAAGTAGTCCAGAAAATATTGGGAACCATTGATTCAGAACAAAATCATGGCTTATAATTGGAAGTTAATATGAAAAATGTCAATTGTAAGATAAGATTCATGGAGCGCAAACTAAAGCACTTGAAATGATTTTAGACATTTTTTTCACTATCACAGCAAAGTGTAAAGACACTGATGGAACTATAGTTATAGTGAAAGGAAGCATGTAAAGACATTCCCAACATTTTTTTGAATAATTTTGATATCAGTCTAATTCTTTTCTCTATTACAAGAAATCATACTGGTAGAGGAAAATGAATCAGATTGAACAGAAGTGGAAAGTAAAATTCATAAAGAACACACCATTGGATTTATTATATTTTGTCACTTTAAAGATCTAATTCAATTCAATACCTCAACAGCAGAACGTCGCCTCTTCCGACATTTCACATGCAAGATTGGAGTTGGAAGATCCAGAGTAAAATCTCCCTGGCGCATAGGTTTCCTGTTGCTGCTATCTCGCCTCAGAGTCTGCCTGCTTTCATGATACTAGGAACAGAAATTTAATTTTTGGCAAGACATCAATCTGAATTCACTCCACAAATAGAATAAGTAAGACAATTATTCTGAAGCCTTTGCACTCCCCTTCCAACAAACAAAACATCTATGTTCAAGCTAACATTACTTCAGGGAAAATATTAGTTAATGAATTAATATAGCAAATATAAATATAGGAATCAAATGAAAACAGGAAACTTAAAAATTTCAATTACCACTTCAAACACAACTATTGTTTACAAAGAAAGCATTTTCATTTTATTAGTACATATTACTTTAATGTACTTCTTCTAGAAGCAAGTCAATTATTTTTTAGTGTCAATGAGAAGCTAAAAGTTAAAATATTCACAAGTAACAATTATTAACTTTCAGATATTACACTCATTTACTACTACATTTGTAAATACCACAAAAACTTCACAGGAAACCTATTCCATACCTGCTTAACAGCAGCAGTGAGAGCTGTTACCCAACCTTGAGTATCTTCCAAACTTGCAGAGTAAAGCAGAAGGGTCTCACCCTGACATGCGACCTTGAACATGCCTTTACCTATGACATCGTCAACACGACACTTTTTAAGAGGCAAGACACAGCAGCAGCGCAACAAACGTGGACGATGGGCAGCTGGCCTCACTACTTTGCAGTACATCAGCAAATCATTGAACAAAACAAAGTAACGGCAGTGAGCCCGCTTGCCATGAGGAGATACCTGAATGATAATAAATTCATTTAATTTGCATTATTTGTGGGAACAAAACTTCAGGCTTGTTAATTAATTTAATCTTTACAATATGATATGTGAAATTACCTTCATCAAGAGCCCCTCTTTCAAAAGTCGGCGACCCGGGACAACAATACTTGGTCTTCCATTCTGTAAACTACGTTGCAATTCCACCATTTGTTGCATGCTTTCCTGTTCCTGAACCAAGTTGTTTATGTGAGATGCTGTACGTTCCACCTCCAGAAGGGATCCTAATTTCAAACAATTGTAAACGAAAAATAATACCAGTGATGCTGTTATCTCTCAGAGCCTAAGGAATCCACTAGGGTTTCCCGCAATATCTACTGCTGCCCTGGAAACAATTCTCACTGAAGAACCATCTTGTGCTCCCTTAACATCCCACTGAGGTAGCCCTTAGGAATTCCTGTACCAGGAGCCAGTTCAAATTATGCACAATGGTTGGTTGATTGTTAGTGATTCCAGGCACAACAACTACTAGGATCATTAGTCCCATAAGTGTGGCACATGTTTTTCCATCAAGAGGTGGTGGTGGTCTTCCCATGCATGTATGGCTACCTACCATCAGCTGGCAGGATTTTCACCAACCAGGTATCTCCCACAAACAAGGTACCACCCCAGCAGGAACACGTTCTATGCACCGACTTCTGGCATGAAGTGTAGTGCATGTTAGTGTAAGATGTGAGGATAGGACAAGGAAGAGGTAGGAAAGATTGTGCACGCTTCATGGCCCGTTTGTTAGGGTACTGCCCTGGCATTCGCCTGGTATTGACCAAAGAAACCACGCAAAACTACCAATCAGAGCAGCCGACCACTAGAATTCTCCTCCATACAGGGAATGAATTCAACCTAGCTGACAAGCTAGTGTCGAAAATCCTGCCACCGTCAGGACTCGAACCTAAGACCACCCGATCAGAGGGATGCACAATAATCTTTCATGCAGCTACCAGTTAGGGCAAGTGATTACGGAAGGATTAAGGTATTGTTGTGATACCCAAAGGACTAGGACCCCCC